AAAATATCTGCTGGGCATGATTCCTCTCTAGGCAAACTTCAGAGCAGTTCAGAAAAACGATAAACACATCAACAAGAAGATTTATAGCTCTGGATTTCTGTATGGGAGCAACGCTGCTTTTGAAACCTCGATTCCTGCAGAAACAAGATTTGGACGATCATTCTGGGATGACACGGATCTCCATCCAAGGTCTTCTAAACTGACGGGCTGCTTGCAAGGTAAATGTAACAACATCGTGGAGAACATGGCTAAGGTGACATGGACTAAGGGGTAGCGGGGCCAGGACCCCGACAAGCTTGACGCTCACGGAAGTCTGTATGGTGAGCCCGCACAACTACACCCCCACACAGCATCAACACCACAGACCCCACGCGGGGCAGCGCTCTCTGAAACCCCCCCGGGACCAGAGCGTGAGGCCGCCCCGCCGCTCGGGGCTCGGCCGGCTCCGCTCCCCGCGTGTGCCGGACGGGCGGGCGGGACCGGGACACGCGTGTGCAGGGCGGGGCTAGGACCAGGACCCGCGTGCGCGGGGCCGCCCCGCCGGACGGGGATACGCGTGTGCGGGGCGAGCGGGCGGTGGGACGCGGACACTCACGGTGATCCTGCCGCGGTAGGTGCTGCGGAGGCCGCGGCACTCGGCGGGGTACACTCTCCTCTCCAGGCAGACCGTCCCGGCCGGCACGGCGGGGGGGGCGATGGACACCCCGACCAGCACCAGCGACACCCGGCTGTCCTTCAGCGCGAACTCCACCGGGGGCACATCCTGCAACGGCACCGGGTCAGCGCGGCGAGGGCAGGGGAGGGCGCGGACCAGCCGCCCCCCGCCGCCCCACGAACCTGCACGGCGCGGTACACGCCCTCGCTGACGGCGTAGTTGAAGGACTCGATGTGGGCCGTGGTGAGGTCGCGCCGGGCCCTGCCGCGCCCCGGCGGCCGCAGCCGGTGCGGGTCCGGCGCGGGCCCCGCCATCGGCGCCTCAGGGAACCCCCTGCGGAGCGGCGCGCGAGACCCCGCCGCGCGCTCGGGCCGCCGCGTGCGAGGATCGCGCCGCCCCCTGCCCGCAGCGCGCGTGCGCACAGGCGCGCGGGCCCCGCCCCGCTCGCGCAGCTTTTCCGTGGCGCGCGGCTGATCCAGGGCCGCTGGCAGGCGGGAAGGAACTCCTGGTGCCTGACCCCGTCCCTGTGTCCGACCCCGCCCTGAGCCACACCCAGCCGGGCCTCCAGGAGCCACGCTCCCCCAGCAGGCGCTCCCGGCACCTGCTCGCCGGCCACCCGCATTCGTGTCCCCCCGCCGCCCAGCCGCGCGCACCCCGGAGGCCGAGAGCTCTGACACCCCGTCACCCACAGCGCTGTCTGCCCCCTCCGCACACCTGGAGAGTCAAACAGCAACTCCCGCCCACTACCGCAGCTCCCACCCGTGCTGGGACAGCCTCGGAGGCGAGGCCAGCTCGGTCACGCCGCGCTGTTGTCTCACCTTTGTCACCCCGAGGTGAGGGGTGGGCCAACTCCCGGGAAACACAACACATGCACCCACAGGACATGACTGTCCAGGGACCCGCTGCCCCAAGGAAACACGGCAGCCTGCGGGGTTTGCATGTTTTAATGATGGTTTAGGAGAGATGTGGATAGTCACTGGAGATCCACGAACTCAGGCACTTGCCAGCCTCACACGCACATGCTGACGTGAGAGCAGCTGGGGGATGTGATCCAGAGCCTGGCAGGCGGCCAGCTTGGCAGCACCCGATGTACCCCACCATCCTCTCAACACCAGGGTTTCCCCAGGGCTGCCACAGCAGACACTGTCAATGGAACATGATTATGAACCTACACATGGCACAGCATTGCTCCCCTGAGGGAGAGCTGCATGTGGAGAACAAATGCTGGGAGCAGGGACATGCAAGCAGTCCTGAAGGGCACTGGCCACAGCCACCAGATGAAAGCAGCTTTTGAGCCTTTCTTAGACTTGTCCAGCATTCTCTGTGGACTGTGGCCAGCCATCAGATTTCAGCAGAAACACAATAGCTGTTGCATGGGAACCATGACTAACTTATATGCAACAAGCCGCATCAGAGTTATCTGAAACCCAGAGTCCAGCGGGACCAGACCCTGCTGGAAAACGCAGCCAGAACACCTGGGCCAGAAATCCTTCATGGATGACATGAAGGGATACAACTAGGACTAGAGACATTCTGCAATATGGTAAATGTCTTCTAGAAACCCAGCACCATCCTGGGTGAAAGCTCAGGAAAGAGAGTAAGACCTTTTCTATTGACCTTTTAGCTGAAATAAGCTAGAAAACATTTATTGTTGTATATTCCTAAAAAAAGAAACAAACAAAAGTCTCACAGGGGCTTGTGAGTATCACTTGCAAGGTGCACCCATGGCTGCAATGTTCAGGCCTCAGCCACAAACACATTCTCTACCTCCACCTTGTAGCTAGTATTTTGGGCAAAACCTTAGGCGCTGTGCTCTCTGTCCTTTATAATTTACATTCTGTGCTTTACTTTGGGGAGCACTGAGAGAAGGTGGAAAATACACAAATTTTCCTTGAGAGGCTGTTGCTTACTGCTGAAAAATTTGGCCAATGGAGGATTCAAGCCTCCTGAATCCCTACCTCCCCCATGCCCAGCTTAAAAGGCAGGGTATGAATAACTGCACTGCCTGTAGTCACAACTCTACTGCCAAGCTGAAGCCCCACTTTCAAATGAACAGCAAAAATGGCCAGCTGTTAATCTACTACAATCAATCCAGGATGAAAAAGGGGGAAGGAAAGGCCCTGGAATTAGGAAGAAGATCCCTAGTCATTGCTCCTGCTGGTGGTACCAGCTGCTCCAGTGGGGGCCACTGTTTTTGCCTGTATCCAGGCAGCTTTCTCCCTCTTATCCTGCTACATAGCCAGGAACCTCATGTTACTGTGCAGTAAGGGAGTGATTCATCATCATTACTTAATCTCCTCCTTTTTAGGGGAAAAGGAGGAGATTTTCTTTCCCCAGAAAACAAGCATTTCTGCTTCATCGTGATGGGGAGAATTTTCTGTTCTAACTTCACACTCTGCTCATCTGCCCTAGAGCTCGTGAGAGCCCAGCTGTCACCTCAGGCACCTCCCGGATGAGAGCAATTCCTGTGAGATCTTCCCTTTGCTGGGCAAGAAGGTGTAATTCTTAAGTTCACATAAGCTAACATGAAAATGTCAATGGAGACATGGTGAACTTTTCAAGTTGATTAACAACCCTTAACAGCCTACATTTTACCTTGGCACGTTACTGCTATGTTTTACCTGGACTGCGGTGAAATTTTTACACCTATGTGCTATCATAAGGTTAAAAACCTCAGCCACGCCTTCCCCCATACCTGTCTCCCCACTTTATCACCCAGCACTTCCCATCTCATGAACCAGTGCATTCATGGTCCACCTTCTGAACATCCATGAGGCCCAAATCCAAAGACCAGACCTGGCATTCAGCATCTCGCTAGAAGTGGAGCCACCTGCCAGCACCTGCAGTGCAAGGGAACCACGCTGCAGCCCCCTTTCCACACAGGTCCTGCTCCCTGTCACTTCCCTGCGTGCACCAGTGCACTCTGCCTCTACCACGCACTCCGCAGATGCAGATCCGTGCTGGCTTCAGGGCGCCGACAACTTCAGAGGTGCTTGTGTGGTTCTTCGGGATGTGCCCTCTCTGCGATGCTTCCATGGGGTTTTGCTAAGCACTCTGTTCCCTCCTGGATTTGAGTGGCCCTATGTCAAACAGTGCCACTTGTAGATTCAGGGTGTGTTGCAATGAATGTTCATCCTGTGATAGCATGATCAAAACGCATCTCTCCAAGGAGGCCTGGATGCTTCAGTCCTGCCTACAGAAAGGTGCCAGGATCATCTGCTGGCATGAGATGAGTACACCAAAACACTAGGATCTTCTGAGGAATGCAAGAAATCCCATTGCTCAATTCACTTCCCATTATATATAGGCAGCTTGTAACCTCCACAATCTCTTCTTGTTTGTGTGTTTTGGGCAGCAGGAACCAGGTAATTTCAGTGCCAACCATCTCTCCCTGCCAGAGGCAGCAAACCACAGCTCCCAACACCCCCACCAAAGCTTGCTGCTGCTACAAGTGCCACCGTGCTCTGCAAAGAGCTCTGTCTTAGGAGGGACCTGCTGGGCTCACACTGAAAATTCAGAAACATTTCACAGGGTGGGCAATATGCCAGGGACTTAGGTTATACTCAAAGCAGACGTTAGCTCTGAAATTTAGAGACCTCAAGGAATTTAAACTCCCCTTCCCCCCAGAACACTTGCTTTCCCAGTTGTGTGGCAAACAGGAATCTTTTTCCTGGTCTACAAAACCTCACCCGCTTTCCTCCTAGCTGAGATCAAGTTGTGGACTGTGTTCATGGCAGAAGATTGCAATATTTGTCAAATGGAGGAGAATAAAATTGGCTGGATCAAACAGGATAAAAATCACTTGGGTTGAAAGGTTTCAGGTTCAAGCCTCAAATAAATCACGAAGGTGAAAGCTGAGAGAAGAACCTAAATTCACCACAGTGTCTCAGAAGAAACTGAGATCAGGTTTCTGGTATTTGAAACACTCAGCACAAAAGTGATGTTAGAAATCCTACAGGCCGCAAGTGAGCTCTCAGGGGGGCTCTCTACCTTTTTTAAACAGAATTCAACTGCATCAGACTGGGATAAGACACTGACTCAAATCTCAGTAGGAAAAGGGATAGCTATAAATAAACAAAATCGCCTTCCTTCCTTGCGTTAATTCACCGTCTGCAGTTCAGCACCCTTTTGCCAGCCATTGCCTAGGTGTTCAGCCAACCAGCTTGGAAAATGACCTAAGGAAACTGAATTCTCGGTGTTCCTGGTTTTAGGCACCCTGCAATGCAAGAGAGCTTGCTCCTTTCTATGTAACAGAGCAGGAACAAAGGAAAGGAGTCACCTATTTGGAGCGGAGCTAAGGCACTAATGATGCAATAGGTGAGGAAGGAACAAACACAGCGGGAGGACAACTTCATCTTTCTCTTTGCTCAGTTCCCTTAAAAAACCCAGTGTTATCTCTATAGAAAAGGAGGAGCTAATAGAGCATATACAGTATCCCTGTTGGAGTTTGATTTTAAGGTTATTTTGTTGTTCTCCCAGAGAGATTTGTTTCAGATATCAAAGTTACAGAAGCTGTTTCTAAAGTGGATTTTGGTGAATGCAGGCAGAGTTATCTGAGCAGCTCTGGCTAATCACAGCTTTGAGTGGATGCCTGTTTTGTTGTTTTTCCCTGTGGTTTCCAAGAAAATAAGAAGCCTGTCTCTATCACTTTTTGGCATATTACTGAGATAGGCCACCGAAATGTGCTGATCCCAGGGACGCAGTCTCTCCCTGTTCACAGCAGTGGCAGTCCTGATGTCATCACAGCTTGATGAAGATCGATGATGACTGGCTCATCTTCTGCCCAGTGTCATTGAGGGGGAAAACACTAGAGATGGCTACATCCACAATTCCTTGGCAGAGCTCTGCATACAGCTTCCTAAGAGATGAGAGAGACAAAATCAGATACCCAGGCAGGACAAACCAGCAGACCCACAACCAATTTTTATGTAGACATGCATTTTCCTGGCAGGATCTACAAGATCCTACTCCCATTACAAGGAGCAGCAGGGTGGCAAACAGGAAGAGGGCAGCATCTCTTCCATCTCCTCCCTGCGTACACCAGCAACTATCTTCTTTTTCAATGGTGATCCTATTCCCAATATTGTTCCCTGCCAGATAGGACCACAAAACCCATTATTTATGTTTACTATCAGGACAGGCTACAGAGCAGAGTCTCCACATCCTCAGGCCCCAGACTTGAGCCAACAAGATGTCTGGGAGCAGACATCTCAGCACCCCCTGTGCCAGCCTTCCATTTCGGGGAGTCCTGATTTACTATACCAGACCCCATTCACATGTGGATGTGCCCCAGAGAGACTGCTCTGATGCATTCATGGTTTGATGAAATGCTGTGCCGGGGTTAAGTTGTTCACATCAGCTTGTGACCAGGTACAGAGGCTTCACAGGACCTCCAGAAGCACAGGATATGTTTCACCATGGCACAACTCGTAGAGAGCAGGTTTAGGGAGAAGAGAGACAAGGTGTTTGAGATGAGTTAACAATAGATTAATTTTCTGCTGAAGGCAATACGTGTGTAACCTCCCTGAGCATGCTGGCATATGAGACAAGCTGTCTTTCCTAGGATTAAAAATGTCCTTTACTCCATGCCTTTGGGGATACATGACAGCAAGATGTTTTTTCAGCTCCTGGGAATGTTATTGGCTTTCAGAAGCCAATTTTTTTCTCTTTAAATGGGAACTGTGTGACATGGGTGCCATAAACTAGAATAACCTTGAAGAAAAGCCTAATTTGGCTATTAGCCAAAACCTACCTCAGCTGCTTTCAGTATCTTCCAAGTGCCCAGAGAGGCAAAAAACAGACAGGGCACTGCTGCAATCCAAATCCACCCAGCAATAGCCAAATTCTACCCATACAGCAACACAAGGAGGTGCAAGGCAGTATTGCACCAAGGTGCACATGGTGAACTGGGCATTCTGGACAAAGAAAGATTCCCAAGCCCTATCCCTAAAAAGGCTGCTGAACAGGCTGCCTGGTAACTTTAACCAGTATCTTTTGTCTACTGTTAGCGGTGATCTAATCTAATTTAATTTAATCTAATCTACATCTAGTCTGATCAAATTCTAGTGTACTGATGTACAGCCTGTTCTGTTTTGCTAGGGTTTTATATGATCCAGATGCTCATTTAGCAAAGATTTCTAGTCTCCTGCAGTTGTCTCAATCACATAATAGAGCACTTCCCGTTGTGCCTATGCAAAGATGTTCATGGCCAGGGCTGTTTGGCTGTCCTAGCCTCCCTGTGGCTAGTGGAAGCTTTGACCCAATGTCTGCAGCATCCACTGTGTGCTCTGGCGTCCTGTGCCTGCAAATTTAGTCACTCACTTCCAGCTGCCGCCCTTAATGCTACTCATTTATTACGTGTTCAGTGGCTCCACAAGAGAGACTGAGAAACACTCTGACCCCCAAAGCATTAAATCTGCAGCATAACTTCAGCCCAATAGTAATAAAAATGACCCAAGTTATATTCAAACTCATTTGTTCAAAAACTGAGGTTAGTGCCCCATCTCACACGAGAAAGAAGCCGGAGGATACCAAACACAGAGACAGGAGCAATGAGCCCAAATTGACAGCACTTAGAGCAGTATCCAATGTGGGTTAGTCTCAAAAACTCCCTTTTAATTCTCTTTCTTCCACCTTTTTCACCTGGAATTTGGACATAGCCAAGTTCTGGGTGACTCATGTGAATGGTGGCATCACAAGAGTATTACGGGAACTGATTACTCACTGAGCACACGCTGGGGCCCCATTGACTTCTATTAGCCAGACTTTCAGCTCCTCATCCACCATGAAGTCAAAACCAAATAGCTGGAAGCTCTGGTAGTGAAGATGCTTCGTGCTGATTGCAGGCTCTATACACATAAGGCAGCTTCTGCGAAGGGAAAAACAGAAACTCAACATTAAGAGCCCTGTGGACACCTGTTGCACTGCAGCTTCTGAGGGCATATGCATAACACAGTCAGGTGAAAGGGATTGCCCTGAAAGTGCCCCAAATTACAAGCTATATACCATACCTGCCATGGTAACCAGGTCCCTGCAAGTGAGGTCCTCCAGCCATGAAAATACACATGGGAACACCCCTGAATTAATTCCTAAAGAGCTGGAGAGCAGCATCCTCCCTCACTACTGTATCAGGCAAATTGAAAAACAAGATGTGCAATTAGAGCCTGGAGCCACAAAGGGCTGCAGCACGTCCCCAAGGAACTGCCACTGGATGCTCATTTGCCTCCAAGTCCCTCAAAGATTCTGTCATGTCGTTTTGGTGCAATCAACAGCAATGGGGTACTTGCAAAGTAAATTCCTTCATGAAGGATTGCTTTGTCAAGACCTAGATTCTCTAAAGCACCATGATCTCTGATATCTCTGTAGGTACTTTCTGTGCCTAGGAGGGAGCTGGCTCTGGAGACTGAGTACGATGACCAAGGCCAATGCCATGTGCTGCTGCTTGCTGGTGGTGGGGGAAGCATCAAAACCCCACAGACTCAACTCCAGCTTCATTTCCCCTCTTGCCCCTCACACCTTTTATAATCTCAACCTCTCCTAGCCCTGTCTTTTGACCTGCTGTCGTCCCTTATCATTCCATCCTTCTCCAGCCACAGTTGGCAAAATGCAGACATACTGACACATACCACTGAGGAAACGGCACCTATTGAGGTGCCTTTTCATTAAGCAATGCCATTGGGGTATTTACGGCCTTATCTTAAATTTAAGCAATTGAAACCCTTCCTTTCTTGGTCTATCTGCTCTCCCAGCTGTCTGTACACATTTCTTGTCACTGAAGGGTTATGTTTTCCTACGCAGCAAGTAGCTGACTACCTTATTATGTGTTTGATTTGCAGTAAGATGCCATCCTCAAGCGTTGTGTTCAGGGCATCCATCAGATACTGGTTGAACTCCTCAAAGAACATTTCATTCCCTTCCTCATATCGCCCATAGTTTTTGGAATATTCCTTCTGAATGCAGTGATTGGTCAAGTGGCAGGTTTTGTCCTGGAAATTAGCACTGTTATATGGTTCGGAAGAGGTCCGCAGGACACCCTCTCTGTAGAGGTAGATATTATATTGATGATCCACGAGAACCCAGCTCCTGAGGGACAAGAGAACAAACTCCAGTCTCAGTGGCTCAAAAAGAAACAGCATGAAAAAGTACTCTGGTGGTACAAAAGCAGAGAAGGTTACCTGATGTCAAACTTGCGATGCCCTGGCTCTAAAAGTAGAGGATTCTCCAGGTATTTCTGAATCACGTGCACTTGTCCCTGCTCATCGATGAAGTCCAGAAGCTCTGTAGCCTCTGATGAAATTAGGATCCCTTCTCCTGGCACAGAAAAATGAAGACAAAATTAGGTACAGGATCATTCCACCTTTGCTGGAGCTTTCTCAGGCCCCAAGTGGACCATGGCTCATTTGCCCAAAAAGCCATGCAACATGCAAGAACCTATGGATGCCATGGTGGCATGAGGGATAAGTCAGCTCAGCTAAAGTTATCTAATACTTCCCTGGCACTATGCCCATTCTTCAGATGTTTAGTTAACTTTTTGGCCTAAACCCAATGACTTAGTCTTAATTTTGTGCTGAGTGTTTTGGGGGAAATACTGTGCAAAAACCCCCACACTTCAAGGGGGCATCGAAGGTATAATAAAGAAAGGTTTGGAGCACAGGCAGAGATTGACAGGAAAGTCCAATGGGAAAATGCTCCTAGCTGTGACTTCTGAAGGTCACTGTCAACACAGCCCTGCAGGTACTCTCAATGCTCCATGCTCTGCATACCTGAGTCACAGCTTCTCAGCCCTACTGACCTCCCATTCACCCCAGCATCCTCCACTGAAAGGAAGTCCTGTCACCAAAGTATTTTTCTCACCCGTGCTTTATGCAGAGGGCAAGATTTTTTTAGTCCCCTGATCACAGCAGAGTCAGGCAGAAACTTGTACTGGCACAACTTCAACTGTGCACTGGAGGAAGAAGGGAAACAACATCCCTGTAAGCCAGTAAAGCCCCTGCAGTGGGAAGATCATAAGGCACCCATTCTGCACTGGACAGATGGCAAATCAAGGAGGGGTCAGCTTAACTGTGCACCTAGTCAGCAATCCAGTGAGGCAGCAAAGCAGCTTACGTGGGGCAGCTGTTCCTTCTCTCAAAAAAAAAGACCTAAACCTCTAGCCACACTTGAAATATCTCAACTTTTAAGTCAGGGCATCCAAAACCTTTAATTTTCCGGTTACTGATAAATGATGAAGCTTCCACTAGACCTGTCCCAAGCCAGGGGCTGTGCCTGAGCTCTATCTGTCTAGATAATCAATGTCAACAAGCTTTCTTCTTCATCAGAACTAATCCCCAGACACTTAAAACTTCCTTCTAAAAGATTAACATGAGAGTCTGCTTTCCACTTTAATTTGCAGCAGCACACTGATGAATACAAAAAGATATTCTGCTTTAGTGCAGAAAAGATGGGATCACACTTGAACATCAAGTATGTAGAGAATGTAACTTCCCCATCCTGCAGTAGACCAGAGTAATGGCCTTTTCAATTACCTAGGTTGATTTTTTGTCAGTTTACCACACAGAAACATTTTCCATCACTGGCATACCAAAAGGACTTATCTCCCCTTCGTTCCTGATGAAAAAAAGCCTACTCTTCTGATACTTCTTGGTAACAGCCAAGAGAGCAGACTAGCAAAGGAAGCCACCTCTGGCTTTCACATTCTTTTTGCAAGACTGGATCAAAAATGGCTCTGCAAGTATGAGTAATACACGTGGGCTTGTTCCCTTTGAAAAAGCCAGACTGGGCTGTGCTGCACACATGGCCAGGTAAGTTTTTCAATGAAGCCATTCTAATAATGTGCCCATGATAACACTGTAAGTAACAGACAGCACATAGTTATCAAAGCATTGCATCTACAGCTGTGTCCAGCTACCTCATAGCTCATTATTTCTGTAGAGCAAGTGATGTAATGACCCTGGAACAAGGAAGGACACATTATCACTTGGATATCTACTGCCCTATTCAAATTAAAGGGACATACAGACACTGCATTGCTTGTCCTTGCTCTGGTACCTTCCCCTGAGGCTTGGGTGCAATTTCAGTGTACTGAGCTCATGGCTGCTCAGTCTCTCAGTGTGACCATGGGAAGGCCACTGACACTAGACATCTGAGTCTGGTTGAAAGACAAGCAAGATTTCCACCCAGGTGAAGCCAGGCATAGCTGCAGCATGGGGAGCTGCACTCCTGGCCCTTGATGGCTGCTGTCCTGCTGATCTCCTCCCCACACCCTGTTCTGCTCCCTCTTACCTCCTGCTCTCCCCATTTCCCTCACCTAGTCCCTACTGCCTTCTCCCTGCAGCACTTTCCCACACTTTGAGGCACATGTGTAGAAATATGGAGACCCTTTCACTGCCATGCATGTTCTGGCTAGCATGTGCACATCACAACGCTTGTCAGGAGCCCCATGCCACCAAACAGACAAAGGAGAGCCCTGTGCTGCCTTGACTGGCATAGGGTTGGTAAGTGAAGCCCATCATAGACAGACTGGGTATCAGCTTGGCTCAGCCAAACCCTGGGACTCTATGGATCATGTAAGGAGTAAGGAATAACAAGAAATAACTCATGATGCTGGAGAATGAACCTTTGGCACCAGCTGAGGACTTGGCAATCCACACGTTGCCTTCTTTGCCTTCCTGCCGCCTGTTGTAAGCTGCCAAGAAGACTTCCCGCTCATCTGTCCTGGTGTTGTTTATGAGATGGTGAATTCCATTCTGTGCCGGAGCCACGGGGGTCTTCAAGTTTGTTGGGTAAATAACATATGACTCAGGGAACCATGTACAGGACTCCGATAGCTCAGGGCTTGTCTTGATTAGCCTGGGTGAAGAAAGACAGACTGTTAATCTCCAGAGTGTTCCCAGCCACATGGGGTCATTTAATAAGAACAAAATTCATCAACTGGGGTTTTTTGCTTGACGAGGAATAGCAGTTTACAGACAGTCTGTCCTAAATTATCATATTTTCCTTAGACCCTTGAAATTATGGTTTTCCTAAAGATACTACAAGCAACCCCAACTCACAGCCAAGCACTACTCTGATTCAGAACCTGCAGGCTATCATTAAACATTTTGATACCATGAAACTAACAGCTGAGAAGTTTCCATGTAAATAGAGCTTGTGATGCATTCCCTGCATCATCTCTGCACAAGGGAATTGATGAGGTGTGTTTGCTAACATGGATCGGGGCAGGAGGGATGCAGTGATCACAACTGGCAAAAGGGAGGCCAGAGCAGTGATGTTCTCTGTGCTGGTGCTTAGTCCTTGATCTCATTCGTACTGACATCTGACCAGGTGTCCCAGCTGTGGATGAAGACCACTGAAAGCAAGGACATGGCTACACGTTTCACATCCCCACGGATCTGGGATCCCCCTTGCACCACACAGTCCCCAAACTCTCTGGCACACCCATTCTACCAGTAATGTCTGGAGATGCCAGTGAACTCCTGTTAGCAGCGCCCAGGCCTGTTTTCTTTCACTGTCAAAGGAGTTGCCTGCCTTTCGGAACGTTTTGTGCTTTGCTTGAGGCCAAAAGCAGAGCTCATGACACGCTGTCTTTGTGCATTTGTGCTTTCCTGTTGAAATGGCAGTCAGTCAGTGACACCCTGGGAGCCTGAGGGATGTCATTTGTCTTTGGATTCATAAGTAGCTTGATGCATCATTGATTAGTGAAGTTAGAAAGCTCAGCCAAGCTCCAGGTGATAAAAACAGGTGTGCAGCTGCTTTCAGCACTGCCTCTAGACAGCAGGCCAAAGAGAAACCCAGCTGATAAGCACCGTGGGTGCTTGTTTAAAAAATACTCTGCCAGTTTCTGACAAACGGCATTACCACTGCCAAAGAAGCAACTGGAAACAGGTTCTTTGCAGGGGAAGGAGAGGCCTTGGATCAGCACACAGTCTGCAGGACTGCATCAGTGAGAGGCAGCACAAACTCTCATGTGGAATCAAACACTGAAGGAGACCAAGAGCTCTGACATGAAGATGCCCTAACGGCTGCAGAGTTTGCACAGGGACGAGGGTTATCTACAATGAAAGCTCATCCATGTTTCCCCAGGAGACCCTGGCATGGCAGGTCATGCAGAAATAACTCCCAGAGCTCTTCCTGGAAATGTCTCCGAGCACTTGTTTGACCAACAAATCTGATTAGCTAAAAGCATATTACTGTCTCATCTCTGTATGAAACAGAGAATAAAAGCAGTAGGTTTTAATTAAATGTCTACAAGGAAAAAGAGCAGATATGTTTGTGCTTCTTTTTCTTTTGATTTGGCTCTAATCTGATTCAATACAGTCTATGGTTTCAAGCAGGTACAACACAGTGGAAATGGCATTTCCCCTGAAGTTACAAAGATGCCTTTGTGCACACAGATAGCTCTAAAGACCAGCACAGGAGCCTGAACACAGCACATGGTAGGACACTCCTAGGGCAGCTGTTCTGTGAAATACCCCCTAAACAGGTCCAACACTCAACAAAGGTTAGAAAAAAAACTGTCAAGCCCATGTAGCATGTCAGTGAATTTCTTACTTCACCAGAGATGCTTTGCGGCACAGCTTGTCTGCTCCCCTGTAGTAATTCACCAGCTGCACAAGTCCAGGTTCATGACCTAAGAAATGGGAAAAAAAAGAGGTCAGACAAACTTCTCAGTTAATAAAGGGAAAACAGCTGCTTAGTGCAAAGGACCTGTGCAGTATGGGGGGGGGAGGGGGGAAAGAGGTTGTTTCTTTGCCCTGCATTATAGAAACAAGTTGTAAGCTGGTACTGGTTCCTGTGGTTTCCTTCTTTTAGTTGCAAAACCCCATGCATTTACCTGTTTGTTTTTAATCTGACACATCCATTTTGCAAAGGAAAATAATTATTTCCTAATCCACATTGGGAACTGGCAGCACCACACAAAAATGTTCTCCATTTGCTGGTGGCAGCTTTTAAAAACTAAGATTTCGGTTACTTTTAAATGCAGGTGGAGGATGCAGGGAAGCACACCACGATACAAAGATCACATCTTAGTGAAAGGCCTCTTTGAGCCTCTTGGACCTGGTATCACAAAACACTGGGAAACATTTAAAGATTTGGAATCTTCCTTCCCTCTAGCAGCAAGACCTGTTGGATAGCTGAGGTGGGAAGAAACCTCTGGGAGTCTCTGCTCTAACTTCTTGTTCAGTCAAAGTCTGAGTATCTCTAAAGAAGAAGATCATATTGCTTCTGTAAATCCTTGTCCCAGTGCTTGGCTGTCATCCTGGGTCCCCTTAACTATCCCAATGGCCCCTGCTAGAGTCACTCCAGGGTGTCTTAAGCCTTTCTTGCACTGAAAAGTCCCAAACTGGTCCCTGTATCCAGTTGTTGCCTCACCAATACCACACAGATACCACAGAGTGCCAAACAGATGGGTACTTCCTTACCAGTACTGGACTCCACACCACAGCCTGCCTCCTTTCACCTGCTCACACTACACAAACACTTGTGCTCAGCTGGAAGCTCTCTGGAAAGGACACGCTGGCAGCGAGTGTCTGAAGGGTAACACAAATCTGGGTAACACTACACAGCCTCTCCCACACAACCAGTGCAGATGAACACGGATGATGTGCAAGAGGCGAGCGATGCCCAGGGCAATACCTGGGTCACCAGTGACAGCAACTGACAAGTGCATCAATAGGGAAAAACACAATGGAAAACTGCTCTGGTTTGAAATGACCTTGGACCAGGGGAATCCCCCAAGCATGAGAGTTACTTCCACCAGCACCCCCTTTCAAAAAAAAAAAAGGCTTGTGGGAATGGACTGTAACCTTGAAAAAGGATTCAGAGTTTTAGTTATTCTCCTTGGTGTTTGCCTGGGAAAAAAGGCCTGGAGTAAACAAGACCAGGCAGCTGCAAGATCACAGAGCGTGAATATCTATTTTCAACCCCAAAGTCATGTCCGTGACCTTGGTCACTTTTTTATTCACAAATCTTTAAATACAAGACAGCTGAGAACCATCCTGCAGAAAAGATCCGTAACGTCAGACACTTCAGTGTGTCTGAAGTACCAGTACGGCCAGGTACTAATTTACTGAAAGAAAATAGTAAAAAATCTCCACGTTTTCTTTTGTTTCCAGTTTATCCTGGGGACACACATCCTCACTGCCTTCCTGAGCATCGCCATGGAACAGTGGGCTGCAACGTAGGGTCTGGTGGCCAGCAAAGAGAGACCATGAGGCAGAAGGGGAAATGTTCCGTGGTCTACACCATGCATTTAGCAAGAATAAAAAGCTGCCAAGGTACTGATCAAACTGGTGATCCTCCCATGGCCAGCAGGGCACAGTCCAGCATCCTCTGCTACATGAGGCCTCTGCAGCCTCTTCCTCCTTTCCCTCCGCTTAGCACAAACTGCTTTTTTGCTTGATGCAGACACTCACAGATTAAGGGCACAATCCCCCAAGAATTAAGTTATCAGTGAGAGCAAGAGAGGTCCCTGCAGCTGGACAGCAGCAGTGGCACATGCTGAGAGCCCCCACTTCTACCCCTCTCCCAGTGACCCAGCTTAGCCCCTGAGTAATGCAAATCCCTACAGTTCCCTGAATTAACTCTGCTTCCAATGAGTAGAGCCCTTAGGAAAACCAAACCAGCTTTGATGCAACAGTTGCTCAGGAAGACAGCTTTAGGACGATGAACCAGAAAAGATACAGCTCTTCGGAAGATGTACCAAAATAACCACGTTATTTTTGCTCTGAATGTATTGATTTCAGGCAACCAGTTCCTGCTATAGCAGGATGGTTTAAAGAAGCCAATGCCAAAGCATGGTGCCTCTCCACAGGTTATAGATGTGCCTTGGTTCTGAGAAATGGTTTGAGTTTTTGGGCGTCCTATGGCAACACAAGCTGAGGGGCTCACTGAAGTCCTTCCATCACCCCAGGAAACTTTTGGAGGATGGAAAGGGTTTGTAAGAGATGGCCACAAGCCATGGTTTGATGTGCTGTGTATGCCCACTCACATCAAAGAATGGTACTCGTTCTGCAGTGAGGCCTGATGCTCATAGGCTCTCCATGCTGGGCATGGTAAAGCAGAGGTCTGCTCGCTGTGCCTGCTGTCAGCACGTGTGAGCGGCCTCACTGCTTAAGGCTCTCAGTGCTTCCCTGACTGCTGCAGACACCCCAATGCTGGAAGGTGACCAGATGGCCTTGCCATGTGATGGGGACTTTCCACTCACCAATGCATGAGGAGACAAGGGAAGAGGTGCTGAAGCTGGTGACTTGCAAATCTGGGAGAGCAGTCAGAGCTGGGTCTCTACTGCAAGAAAAGGGGCTGCAAAGCTGTCCTGCCCCTGAGCTGCTGGAATGAGGGGGCTCCTCCTGTTTTGACATTACTGCAGCTAGAAGCAGTGCTGCAAAATCACCCCAGGAAGAAAAAAAACAGAGCCAAGATGACAGTGCATCCCTGCTTCCCGCCACACCCTGCAACACTGCCAGTGCCTGGCTTGGCTCTCCCTGCTTGTGGGCAGTCCATAGCACTTCCCCTCCCTGCTCCTGGGCTCCACACCATCCAGTGGAGCGAAGGGCCAGGGTGGCTGTGCTGACAGCCCCGTCTGCCATGGGACAAGCCTGCATAGGGCAGCTCCCAGGGCCCGGCATGTTGGCAAGTGTGACAGTGGGGGTCAAGTAGCAGGGAAAAAGGTGGTGGGCCAGGGCAGGGTGGGGCTCTACAATGCAAAGAGCCTCTGGAATTCCCCACATGCTGCTCCAGACATCCAGGGACTAGTGCTGTCACCCCCACCAAGCCCTGCAGAGGCACATCCCCACCAGCCTCGACTCTGGGGTGAGGGTTTGAGTGTGCCTGGTTTAGACCTGTTTCCCCACCTGTCCCAAACACCAGAAACACCCTATAACACCTAAGCTCAGCATTGCAATGTCCCTGCCCAGCACCAGGCAGGGGAATGCCACTGGCACCACTGTGCCCCGCACAAACCCACGCTGTGCGCCTGAAGCCCCCTGCAATGGTGCAAACAGTGCCAAGGACGTTGCTGCAGGACAAGGAGGGCAGTCCGGGAAGCAGGGCTCCACCCGGGGGGCTGGGACCCTAATATCTGCCAAATGCCAGATGGGGGGGGGCGGATGATCCCTGAACACCCCCCACAAACCCGCTTCACCACAGCACAGCCTTCAAGCTGGGCAGGGGGTGTTCTGGGGGGCACCGGTGAAACCATTCCCGGGGAGCTTGGGAGGGGGATCCTTCGAGTCCTGGCTGGCGCCAGCAGGGCCTGCAGAGAGCCCTGCCGGGGGTCGGGAGGCGGCTGCATGGAGACCCTTCGTTGCCCGCCCTTTGTTTGGGCGACGGAGGCCAGGGCGGCGGCCGAGCCCCGGTGACAGGATCCCCGGCGACAGGGATCCCCGGCGACAGGGAGCCCCGCACGCGGTCACGGCGACAGGACGGTGACAGGGGCCGGGGGGCACCGCCTCCCGAACGGCGGGGTCTCCGCCGGGGAGCGCCCTGCCCGTGCCCGCAGCGGAGGCTGCGGCGAGGACCCCGCCCTGCGGCGGTGGATCACCGGGGACGGGAGGGGACAGCGGCAGCCCCGGGCTGCAGGGGGACAGGGGAAGGCCGGGTCGTGCTGCCGGCGGGGGCGGCCGCGGTGGGGGGAGCCCTTACCCAGCCTGCCAAAGGGGAGCCGGTTCCTCTCGCCCAGCATCAGGTTGAAGCGGGGGTTGTCCCTGCGGAGGCGCCGCCACTGCCCGCTGGCCAGCAGCAGCCGGCTCACCTCGGCGTACACGCTGCTGCCCTCGTCCCGCACCACGAAGGTGTACATGGCGACGGGGGAGGGGGGTGGGGGGAGAGGGAAGGGGAACACCCCGCCCTACCCCCGGCGGCTCACGGGGCCCCGCCACAGCCCAGGCAGGGCCCTGCGCGGCCGCCGCCGCCCGGCCCGGCTCCGCATGGCCGGGACCGCCACCCCCGCGCACCGCCCGAGGAGCCTGCCCGGGCGGGGACTGACCCGGAACCAGAACCACTCCCTGCCCCGGCCCCGGCTCCTCCCCGCCCCGTGATGCCGCGGAGCCGGTGGAGGCGGTGCTGTGCGCCTCGGGCACCTGGCCCGGCCTCGCCGCTTCCCGCTGTGCCTCGGTTACTCCTGTCACCCCCTGCCAGCAGTGCTGCCCGCCGGTGCTCAGGGCCCGTCGCGGGTGCTCCCCTCTCAGTGGGTCCCCGCCGCTGGGCTCGGACCCCCAGCCGTGGTGTCCCGGGGCTGCAGCCTAGCCAGCACCCAGGCGGTGCTGCAGGCCGTGGGCACTGGCGGGTGGTGGTTGCCCTGTGACACCACAGCCTTGCAGGGCTGGTGCGACTCCAGCCTTGGTCTCAGCAGCCGGAGTCACTGCCAGGTCTGGGCTGGCCCTGACCGCACACACGGACTGCCGTGACCACCCCACGGGTACGGACCTCCTCTGGGAGCCGGGGAACAGCCAGCACGCAGAGGACAGGCAGCCCTCCAGCAGGACCCAGACAGGCGGGAGACGACAGCATGCCCATGAAATTCGGGGTGAAGGGGAAAATCAGCAATGACAGAGGCTGGAGCTGGAGAGGGCTCTGCGAGGTCTGGCAGGCGCAGCCCTGAGCCCTACAAACGGGCACAGCTGGGAAGTGGAGGGAAGGGGCTGTTCACTCAGGGCTCGTCAGACTGCATCTCGTGCTGTGTCCAATTCGAGAAGGATCTTGATAAACCAGAGTGATAAACTGCTGCTGAAAAGATAGCAAGTGAAGAAAGGGCCAGTTGTGCACTCCTACACGGTGGCTGTCCCATGGAGTCCCTCACTTCAGAGACTGTAGCGGCATGCCCTCGGGAGCACTGATTTCTGGTGGCACTTTCACTCTGGAAGAAAAAAACGCATGTTTGGGCTGATGGACAGAAAAGCAGGAAGCCTGACAACCCAGTCACCACCAGGCTGTCCCTTCATCTGCTGCCACTCAAAGACAGGGAATTGCAGGCAACAGAGGGGCTTATGTCCCCTGTGTCTCAGCGAACTCCATGTGCAGGGCAGGAGGGAGCTGACTCACTGTGCCTTCTCGACGTCCTCAATACCCTCAGGCAGGCACACGTTGAGCGTCTCCGGGAGCAGAAAGGCCACTGCGCCGCTGCACACCGCTACACTGCAGTATGTCACCTCTGGCAGAGACCTCCACACTTGGTCCAGCAGGAACACAAGTGGGGCCAAAGCCCCGCCGAGGCGTGCCACAAAGGAGGTGTACCCCATCCCATTCTGCCTGGAAAGGTGCAGACCACCACGAGAAAGAGGGGGGGGGGTACTTCTATCATATCAGATCTTGGGAAAAAGTGCAGAATTCTGCCCCTTCCCCTACATTTTTCTTTAAGTACTGAGACTTTTTTTGCCCCAGGTTTTTCCTCTGCCAGTTTTTTCCTAGGGTTTTTTTCTTCTTTCTTCATATCTTCCTACAATCATAGTATTTCCCAGAGAACAACTGTGAGAAATATTTATATCTATTATGAGAATGAAGCTGCAGTTCCACACTAAAAATATCTGCTCTAAAGTTATTTCCACTTTAAATGTCTAAAACCCTGAGAGCATTTTCTAATAGTAAGTCCTCTGACCTGCTGAGAGCAAACCCGAGTTCCAGCTTTTCCCAGGTACTTTCAGGCAGGTGGTATACACTAGAGATAACTGTGAGCACATTTGGTCCTGTTGTAGCGATGAGCCCAGGAGAGCTTGGTACAGAGACCAAAAATATGACTTAATTTTGAGGGGATGGGTGGCATTTCACACTGATAACAAGGATCCCAGGATCTGTTTGTGCATATACAGAACAAGCACTGCAGAAGGAACCAACAATTTTGTCTCTTGTCAAGTTCTTTGAGCGTGAAAAATACAAACCAATCTGAGATGAAAAGTAGCAGATCAGTATTACAAGTTTGGTTTAAATATGCATCATTTGCCACATGCAACAGACCACTGAAAGCTAAAGGACCAAATGGCATAGAAGGGTACTCTGGGCATGAAGGGACAGAGGTGAGATAAGTTACGAGGCCTGCTGAGATTCATGAGGGTTTTTTCAGACTTTCACAAAGCAGTGAGGTGGTTCCTTCCACCAGTCCAGCTATATCCCAAACTATGCAGACGGTAAATCTGGTTTTTTGTTAGTTACCCAGATATTTCAAGTAAATTCTTTTTTTCCTCCTGGAAGGCTAGTTAATCCATGCTTTAATATCATCTGATGTCCAAAAGACTCTCAAACATGTGGTAGTACGTGTCCCTTCTAAAACTTGATTTTTCAGGGTCTTTTAACAGTTGCTGACAGATTATCGCAGGGATCTGAGCACAGATGCCTTATAGAGTTCAAAAATCTTCCCACACAAAAAATCCTCACCTTTCCATTCGTCTCCCTGCCAGCATAAACTGACCAGGCATAACCCAACCACACATAACCCACATAACAAGAAAGGGTGGCTTTCTTCCCCTTTTTTTGTGAGTATGTGTAATCCTTAGAACCTGCTATTTCCAGAGGCAAGGGACCAGTCTGGCCAACAGCACGTCCTGCTGTGCTGATGTCAAATGCCCCACCGAGGCTCTGGGTGTGCATTCAAGGGAGTGGCATCTCTTACCTCAGTATGGTAGGGTAGAGCTCAGAGGTGTACAAGTAGACAGTAGTGAATGCAGCTTCTGAGAAGCCTTTGCCCATAATGGCTACTACAGAACGCAAGGAGGTGAAGGCTAGGGGAAAGAAAAGGCGTATGTGACAATGGTCAAAGAGCTGCCTCTAGGAAGAAGCTTCCTGTGGCCTCATGTATAACCAGGGAGAAGGTTCAATGCTCCCACAGACAAAATGGAGTTTCATAGCCCTGGAGCTGCTGTCTCCAAAGGTTGGATCTGTCAGTTTGTTGTTAGCCCAAATGGGAGCTGAAATGATGAAAGGATAGGTCCTGACATTTCCCATTGTACAACATCTATAATTAAGATAGGCACTTTACCTTGCTGGGCCCTTCACAGATGGAAACCATCTGTTGCCACCAGATACTAGGGCTACCCCATATGACCTAGTCTCATAGACACCTCTTAGGTGGAGGACTTTACTATACAGAATTGCCTGTGAACATGATCTGTGGTTTTCCTTCTCTAGCACTACACGGAATGGAAACCTCCCCTTTAGCAAGTACTGCAAATAGCAGAAGAGCATCTCACACTTGGGAATGACAACGTTGGCTCCTATGCATAGTCCGGTCAGGATGAGTGTCCACGCCTGACTCTGCCGCCGTCCAACTCTGTTCACCAGCACGTACATGATCATCTTGGCTGGAATCTCAATGACACCAAACACAAACTGGGAGAGGTAGATGTTGAGCCCAAAGCCAGTCAGGTTCAGGCTCATGCCATAATAAGAGAAGGAAACACCAAACCTGCAAGGAGTGTATAGAGATGGGACTTAGGGAAATCCCTCTGGGGAAATGCAGGATGAAGCCCCCATGTGAAGCGACACAGCTTACCACACGACCCCAGAACACAGAGAGATCTTCCGCAGGACTGGTGTCCTGAACAAGCTGATGTAGAAGTAACTCCCTCCTGGCTTTTTGTCTGTTGCCATCCTTGTCAGGGCCTGGGAGAGATGGAATGAAGGAAATAGTTCAGCTGCTGTATTTTTAGGATCCAGACATGAAACCCTAGACAGGCTGGGAACTTTACCCTTCCCAGCTTCAGCTCTGCCTTGGATTTATCACGCATTCCCATTGCAGAACAATTCTGTGAGCATACGTTGTCAGAGGCATGTCTTCCTACAGCTTCACAGATTGCCTACTGTTTTAGACCTGTTTTTCTTCTCATGGCCCCTTCTTCCCTCTTACCCACATACCCTATGTGGCAGAAAGGGTTGTAGAGAAATGGCAGATCATGGTGTTAGCAAGGTCAGTGTTGGTCAGTTCCACACTATTCACCATGTGGCTGCCTGCTGTTTTATGAGGTCTCAAACAGCAGCTAACAGTGAGCTGCATGCTGTGTTTTTGGAGTGCATTTATAACACTTTAAATAAAGTGTAATTATTTATACATCTGTTTATGTAAATACATACATAAAAAAGTCAAGGACACAGGAGTGAACCCTGCCCATGAGGAAGAAGAGAGTGCTTATTCACGAAGGCTTTTGGCAATTGATTGAGGGGTAGGTACCAGTAGAGTTAGTAAGTTCTGCTCACTGGTTGAGATGCAAGGAATTCACACAACCGCAGGTCTGCAACGCAGCTATACCCAAGCTAGTTGCCCTGGGTTCGCTGTGTATTTAATGGAGATCTCTAGCGGAAATGATGAAGTCATTTCACTCCAGAGGAAAGAACTGCATTCGCATTTGGTCAGGAGAATCGCACGCCAGCCCCTGCCGGCTGGTCGTTAGATTGCAGTTTAAAGGAGGCTTCAGACAGTAATGATGTGGATACCTACTATTGGGAGAGAATTCCTCTCAGCCTCACTTCACTGTGTCCAAAAATCATCAGCAAATGCAGGGTAGGACAGTTAAAATTGATTAGGTTATGAAACATAGGAAACCTTGAGAAGAGAGTCCGCTAAGTAGTTATATGTAATCTCAAATCAGTATCCTCTTCAGAGAGAGCAAAGCCTCAGCCAAAGCTTTTGCTTAAAGACTTAATCCCAGCCTCAGAGCTGCATGGGCCACACCATTTTTCTGTCATAAATCAAAAGGGCTAATCACCTCTTTGAAAGATATTAAGAAACTGCTTTTTAAAAATTAAATGCTGTCCATTTGTTAGTGTTCCCCTTCCTCTTCGTTTGTTCAGACATCAAGCTGAGACACTTCATTCTTTACACCTTTGGGGCCAGGCAAAAATGGATTCAAACCAGTGGATGCATGTGTACTTAGCCCAGTGCCTCACCCTTGCCACATCCCTTTAAAAGTGCTGGCAGAACCATGACTGACTTGAAAGCAAAGTTTTAGCCAGGGGAAAAATTTGATTATGCTGAATGTTCTTTACACCCACACTGATTACTGGGGCACTGTTGCTGACAGTCTTCCAGTTTCATACATACACTAAATACAGCCTAAGGTGGACTAGCTTTTGCATTTTTGAATCGTACTACATGGAGTATTTCAAGTGCAATATGAGAGAAAATATGCTACCCACATGTTATTAATGTGTGTTTGCTTTCTTCCAGCACTATACCAACACTTGGCAAATACTACAGTGACCAAGAAGGTAAACACTAAGTTGGATGAGTTCCTTGTGCAACTGCACAGTCTCCTGTCTGTTATAGGAGTGATGCCTCTGCCTTATTTTCCCTGGCTGCACTTTTCTCTCACTGTGTATTTAGTCCAGTGTCCAGTCCACTGAGGCCACTTGTCATGGCAATAATGAGTGGAAAGACACTCCATGTAATGAAGGGGATTTCTGGTCTTATGGGTACTGGGCTGCTGCTTATCATTAGGAGTGAATGTAGGTGCTTTCTAGAGTAAAAAGGAGCATGGCACCCTGTGCACCACAGTGCCCCACAGAACACACTGCAGGCTGAGCATTGCTTCAGGTATCAAATGGAAGTAAAATATAGAAAGTGAGAAAGGAAGAGCATGTGTCTGGATCTTCAGTTTCTTACCTCTGGTGAGACAGCAAAATCTTTCCTTCTGTTCATTCTTGCACATCTAAGCAGATGCCTGTGAGCTTGCTTCATTTTGCCTTTGGCTATGAGCCACCGGGCAGACTCTGGGACCCACCTGATGCAAGGAGAGAAGACAGTGTTCCTTCATGTTTTCCACCCCACGTTCATGGCTCTGGTCTCTTTATGACACTTCGACCTCAACCAAAAATAGCAACTATGGTGCACGAGAATAAGAGTAACAGGACACCCTTTTTGCACCTATATGCTCTTCTACCCCTAGAGGAGTGCAGTCTGCTAACTGATGTATGTCTAGCCAAAATTTTAATCATGTGATCTTTGATCAAAGCTTGAATTTTCTGAGCTGGTTGAAGTTCCAAACTTTTATCAATTAAAATTGGCCCCAGAGAGTTTACACATTCGTGCTTTCTGTGACTTCTTAAACTTTGAAATTGTAGGATATTAAAAATTACAATGAAGTAGTGAGCTCTATACTTTTTAGTTGCTTAAATTATTTGGTTTTCACAATAATTCAACCTGCACAAGACAGTCAAGCGGGTCTGAATCATTCAGATTGCAGCCCTCAGGAAAGTGCCCAAGCCAGTCACTGAACGACCAGGGATGCTGTGCTGTGTAGAGCTAACTAGCAACTCAGGGAGGTCTGCTTAGCAGACCTGTGTAGGGTAGGAGTCCTGTGATTCTTATTTTTCTGTCCCAGCAAAAGATCCAGCGCTTGTCTTAAACCAGCGTGTGCAACTCCCTCTCCTTGGACTTCTCTCTAATCTTGCATCTGCCTGCAATTCATGGCTACAAGCCCCAGAGCTTCCCAGGCCACAGTGCAGCCCGTGTGGCCTAGGGGGTACATGGTGGTGTGTGGGTGCCCAGAGCAGTCAGGGCCCAGCAGAAATACCCCTGAGTGCCCAAGTCCTGCTAGAGCAGCCAACACCTACCTCCTGCTACACAAATCTGTCCCTGGAGAGAAATGAAAACCAGAATCTGCCATTCTCATGAAGACTTTCAGCTGAGCAGTGCGGCCAGTGGGAAGATTTACAACTCTGAAGAACTGTGGGTTTGAGGTCTACTGAGGTCACATAGTTGTCAGTCTCTCATTGGAGTCTCCCACTAGAATGGTCTGAGACCAGATCCCTGTAAGCTGTTCATGATTCAAGTGCACTAAATTAGATTATAGCAAAACTAATGAACAACTGCTGTCACTGTTTAAGCAGTAACTGAAAATGACATGCAGAACAAAAACGTTTGCAGAACTGGTCTTGTTGAAAGTTTTCGTCTCCTTCCCACAAACTTACAACCCAGTGCACCTTGGGAAATATAAAGAAGGAAAAGTGGCATTTTGTGCTCATCACTACTGTCTCTGGGGTGTAATATTATGTGTTTTTGTTGTCTAATGTGTCCACTGAGTTCTGACATTGTGTCAATAGTATCTGCAGAGTGCTAAATTAGATTTTAATTCCATACTTCAGGGAGTTTTAATTATCTGCTAGTCACTGGCCTTTTGAGTGCTTGAATTTTGATCAGACTACAGTATATTTTGTTGGAGAACTAATCTTTATAAAAGATACAGTAAGAGAAAAGAACCAAACAGCTGCCATGGAAAGGGTGGGTCCAAATGTATCTGTGAATTTCAGCACTTCCAAGGACTCAGGTTTTTTTGGCTAGTTGTCCTAGAAAGCAAGCAAAACAACTCAAACTAAAAAACTCGGCAGAACACATATTTTAGTTGTGTTGGACTTGATCAGTGAAATATCAGATGTTGCTCTTTGCCAGAAAGCCGGTGAAACAGTACATCTTTCTTTAGCCATTGAATAAAAACAGCACCAGTTTATATTCCATTTTTAGTAAGGATTATTTGAGATTTTTGTACTAGATCTGTGCAGCTGTTTAATCTACTGCTTCATGCTGAGGGACAGACACAGTAAGCAAGCAAACCATAGTCTTCAGAAGCATCCTTGATAGCAGCTGAAAGGCACTTTAGGATTTGGATATCGCTCTTTTTGTTCAGTGATTATGCACATAATTTTTGGACCCATGTGTCTAACAATCAGAACTTATTCTGCATGGTTTCCAGCTACAGCCCCCCATCCCCCTGAGGGACACATCTGTGACTTCTGCAGTGTGATCCAGCACTGCGCTCCAAAAGGAACCAAACAACCACCCTAAGTTGAAGGAGACACGCCCCCCGTTGCTGAATGCTTTCAGTAGGGCAGTTGTGGGAATACCTGCTTGCTTATTTGAGCACAAGCCTTTTTTTCCAGCCAGTAAATGGAGCTGCTTATTCAAAGGACTGTTTCGGATTGTCAGCTAAGTTGATGCAATTCACTTCACATGACAATCACACTGTCAGTGAATGAACTCTGTATTCTAGTTTGTATTACTACATGAAAAAAAAATCAAAGTTACTTCTATTAAATGAACCATCTCCCATTTTAAGCGTTATGACATGTCATATATTTCTTAAATAATGCTACAGGAGGGAAACAGGCCACAGAAAGCAAGTATATTTGGCCCATCAGAATGGTTACACAGCTGCGAAAGCCATGGGAAGTACAGAGGTAAATGAACCTGACCTGGCCTGAAGGTGTCATTGGATCTCATGGAAAAATTGGTGCCAAAAGTATCCTTCCCAGTGAGGTAGGGACAGAGGATGGATAAATTAGTTATCTTGAGTTTACTGAGGATTAAAGACAAGGGTTCTGGTCCTGCCTCCCTTTACTGAGGTATCTTTTCTTTACTCTAACACATATGACAGAGCATGCAGCACCAAATCCTGCTCCCTTGTGCTGCAACCTGTCATCCAAATGCCTGGCCTCAGCCCCAGTCCTGCCTCCTCCTTGTCCCCAAAGCTGTGATGTGTCCTTTGCTCCTGGCCTTGTTGGAGAGATGAAACCCAGGCTCTGCTGTCGTCAAAAGCTGCCACGCGTGGGCAATCCGAGTGCGGGACACAGATGAGTCCTGCTCCTCTTGAAGTTGCTGGAGTGAACCCCAGGATCAGCGTTCTGATGTTTGCCAAGCTCACAGAGCAGAGTAGGCAAATCACAGCCTGCTCCCATCCCCACCAGCCACCCTGTCACTTCACTCACCACAGGAAGGCAATGCTCAGAAGACAAGGTCCTGTTACAGCTACCAACAACCAGTGCCATTCCCGCACCAAGTACGCTACCATGGCCAGCAGCATGTTCCCAATGCTCCAGAAGATGCTGCTCAGGATCCCGGTGAAGGTGCGGTGCTCTATGTCCACCCACTCCATCGCTGCAAGAGAGAGGCAGCGCTCAGATGGGACACGCAGGAGTTCTCCAGGAAGAGCTCTGCAGGGCTGTTTAACAAGTGCAAAGCCTTGTAACATCCCTGGTCTTCTCCTTGACAAGGTTCCACTGTTTGGCCAATATTTGGAACATTTAAAATATTCATCTACAATTCTTGACCTCTTATAAAGCTGTAAGCAACTAAAATAAAACTTTTTAAAAAAAGAAAGACTGGTTATATATTTAGAAACAGTG